ATTTTGCTACCCTTTTGCGTTTTTGTTCTCTCACTCAAAAGAGAAATAGTTCATATCTTCAAAATAAATTAATCTTAAAAACTGCCAATGAGAAATGGCTGCCAGTTTGTCAAATTGCCCTAAAGGAATATAATGTATTTGAAAAGGAAAGTGAGCAAAATGTGAAATGCACATAATGCCATGTCTCCTGCAAATTATGTTCACACACACAATTGTGCAGTAGCGATTTGCATTCAGTGTTCCACTGATTTAGCTCTGTGTAGTAGTGAGGATGCGGATGTAGTTGTTTCCTAACTTTAACCTTACCTTAACCATTATTCAGTTACCATGATCAGATATTGTTGAATCAAGGGATGTAAGGGGTTTGCAGTAACATCAGTGTTCAGTGTTAACTTGTCAGTCTACACACAAAAAACCCAAAATGAAGAATATGCATATACACTAAGATAAAGGCTGTTATACCGTAATGTGGCTTGTGTTTTCTCTCAGTGACCGAGACAGCAGCACAATAAATGAGATGATGACCTGTGGTTAAGGAGGGTCTGTCGCTGTTGCCCTTCCTGTCCCAGTCTCACTGATGTGTTATCATGGGAGGTCTCACCTCCCTTGCAAGGTGAAATGGTGGCATGGGGTACAGTTATGACTGCTAAATGCTTCACCCTCATCTCTATCTGGACATTCATGCACGGTGAGCTGTTTTCCCCCCTTGAGACACTGCAGGTTGTGGTATACTATGTAGGCCAATTAGCTTTGTTTGGCACGTCTTTCACTTGGTGTCCGTTGTGCAGTGGGGCCATTGGTGATCACCGAAGTGAATAACCTTCTAACCGTCTACCTATACCTGTTGCTGACTTAACTGTCTGGTTAGAGTTTTGCGGATGTTTATACAGCTTGTTCTGGGTAGTGTTGGCAATTATCCTCAATAAGAGTTGCTCATAGGACCAGGATAACAGTGCATGATCAATGCTCTGTGTATTTAGACAATAAAACCCTGTCAGCCACTGGACTTCCATCGTCAGATGTCAGTCTTCAGTCTCTCCGGGATTCAGAATCGTCTCAGTCCTTTGCTTCGTCCACTTTCCTTCCTCGTCTGTGTATCGACGTGTTGAGTTGTCAAGTTGAGATGCCTGTTATCGCATCTCTGTTTAACAGAGTTATATTGCTTTTCTTTTTCCCAGTGTCTCTGCCACACGCACCCACACACACACACACGCACACACACACACACACGCACACAATGAAATTATCGGCAGTCTCAAGTGTATCTTTTCTGTCCATTTAACTGTTTCAATGTGGGGAAGTACTTGGTGCTGATATACAGCACTTTAGACTGTGATTGAATTACACTGATGGGAACATCAATTATTGAGCATGGTACCAGAATTTTTTTTGACCAAGCACCTCAGATCACATTACAGTCTGCAGTGCTCTGATGGGCTGCAAAAATAACAGTCCGGGCCGGAGGCATATTGCATTCAAAGACAGCAACAGGGATTTTATTTATCTTGATGATAATTATAGCTTAGCCACGGGACTCATTCTGTTTTCATCTGTGAATAATATAATACCTCATAGTATTTAATGATTATTCCATGTTTAAAAACAGTTTGTTCTGTAATTTTCCTAGCTCTGCCTGCGGTCTCTTACTCTACAATAAATGGAGAGTACAGTAAATTCCAAATATATTTAATCACAAGTACTTCTTCAAAATCTCTACATCCCAAAATGCAAAATTGTGACCCAATTATTCTGTAAGGTCTTGCCCTTTTTACTTGTACCTGCATGGTTGTAGCAATAAGTTCAGTTAAGTATTTTGTTGTTTCCCAGCGGTAATTTGCAGGCTGTAATATAAAACTTTATATATTTTTTACTTGATGCTATACCACTTATTTGATCACATTTGGCAGTACAGCTACATTTCATTGGCTGGTTATCTTTAAATGCATCTCACCTAATGCATCTCCAGTTTCCTCAGTGTCTGGAGATAGATTATACCTTAGTACTCTGTAACGCCCAGGTGTTTCAAAAAAAGATAATGTAATGGAAGATTGTAGGATCATGTAGGAATGTCATTTTAAGCTATTTGTTTTTTGTTTAACCAATAGGATCATCCCACGCATGTTTCTTCAATCTAAATTCCTTCATTTCATTCATACATCGTGGGATTAACAGTTTTTTACTTTCGCTATTATAAAGGTACCCTGCTGAATTTTTTGCCCTCTTTTTTTATGAGCGGATCCCTGTTGTGTAACGCAGATCCCTCACACACACATTTCACATTATTCCACTGATCAACAGGTGTCAGTAAGATGCTCGGCATTGTGCCAAGGAAGGCAGTTAAGAAGACTGCTAGCTAGTAAACTTGTAAACCCTGCAGAGTTTAAACACTTAAAAATCAGCTTTGCAAATGTGTTGTGAGAAAGGAAATTCATTCAAAGTGTTTATCAAAGTGCAAGGATACACGTAATGTTTCAGTGATTCAGTGACACTGAATGTTAACATCTTTTTTGTTTCCACGTAAACTCCACAGGGCACCTTTTAATCTGAAAAATGTGTCCATAACTAGAAAGATAGAAAATCAGAAATAATGGATTTTTACAATTATTTCTTAAAAAGTAACCTAAAAATAACAATGATAATGGAATAAATCACTACAATTTAAAACAAATTCTGAAAGAATATAGTGTATTTGATCCGTGACTTTCTAAAAGAACTTGCTACCAGCTGAAGTGACACACAAAACAACAGAGTACTTTAACCATTAGGTGACATCTAACTTTTAACACATGTAGGGAGGATGTCCTTGTCACAGTGACCATGCAGCTCCATTGAGCAACTCAAAGATGAGAAGTGCATCTGTGTGAGAGTGCAGCAGAATCATAACGGTGAATTCTGGCTGGTGTAGTATTTTGTTGTTGCGTTCACTTCTTTGTTTGCTCACTGCATCCACTGCAATTATTGCTTCTCTCAGAAGCCTTCTGCAGTTCTTTTGCAAAAACATGGTTTTGTGTAGTGGGATGATTGTGTGTGTGTGTGTGTGTGTATGTGTGTTTGTGTGGCTGCCACCCAAGGTTGTTGCTACATGTTGTCTTTTGAGATTCATTGCCTTAAGCAGTGATGACACGCTCTCAGCAAGACATGCCAAGACTGTTGGCTACAGCCCAATATGAGGGGTAAAAAGTAAAAGGGAGGGAAGGAAAGAGACGGATACTTGAGCCAGATCCCATGATTTTGTTTACTCTAAATAAAAGATTAATTTGGATTGAGTGAGCTAAGTAATTACTGAGTGTCTTGATTCTGTTTAGGACTGTCGGATAAAAACCCTGAATGTCTACTGCTCATTGTTGCCTAGATTGAAGTGTACAAATGTTACCGCTCTGTTAGGCACAAAGCACCTTGCGTAAGAGTCTGTTCTTCTAAAAACTTTGTTCTCAGGGATCATGATGATCATGATAGTTCAAATACTCTAATTGTGTTTGGTTATCATGACAAGAATGAGGAACAAATCATTTATTTTGGTAATGCTAACATCAACAACAGGTCTCCCACTTCACAGGATTGGTGCACTGATGCAATGGACCTTATTTGGAGAAATTGAATTCTAGTAAACCGGTTTCAAATTGTCATGTGGGATTAATTAACATTGCCTCTGTCAGCTGAATGAAGGTGTTCAGAGTACACGGCTGCAGAATAGACAGATGCACATTTGACTAGGAGGGTTGAGTCATGCATGATACTGTGTGTGTGTGTGTGTGTGTGTGTGTGTGTGTGTGTGCTTGTAGTCACTTACTAATTAAGTTCCACTATCACTAGTTACGATGATGTATCGCTAACTACTGTTAGATTGAAATAGTTATGTACTCTCTCCCGCTTTGCTAAACTGTCAGAGGTGAAATCTCTGCGGGATATTAAAGTTTCATTATGTGCTGAGATTATGCAGAAAAATGGATTACAACCACATGATATTCATATGAACTTTCCAACATGGCCTTTATCCTGAAACTGCAGAATCCACCCCTTCAGTACTTCAAGCAGACTTGAGCAAACAGATTTTCATCTGCAGTAGGTCCTCAAGGTCAAAACGTAGATTCATTTCTTTGTCCTGCAGAATTATTTGACGAAGGAGAACTAATAGTTACGTAATAAATCATTTGAAAACATCGAAACTGGACAGTGAAATATCTGTTTTCAGGGTCTCATTTTATACATATACAAGCTACAAGCCTGCTGACTCCACTGACCTGCTGCATTGTAAGAATACTGGCACTGTAATTGAATATTCCTTTCATTCAGTGACAGATTTCTTGCTCCACTCTTATACTCGCTTGATATATAAAGTGTCTATTTCTTTCACTCCAGCTGCACACAGAGACACTGCTTTGTGATAAACCAACAGTGGGGAGGCTAGGAATGGAAGGGCCCTTTACACAGGACGCTTTCAGAACCTATCTCTCTCACACGCACACACACATACACACACGCAAACAGTACATGTATACGCTCACGTGCAAGGGTGGCAATGCGATGAAACACGCCCCCCTGTGGCCACGTTGAGAAGTAAAAACCCACTGGCTCAATGAGTGGAGAAGAGGGGAGGGGGGTCAGCCGATGTGGGCGTAGGCGCCTGTTTGTGTGTGTGTGTGTGAGAAAGAAAGTGTGTATTGTGGGGGGGGGGTCAGTCTATTTTTACTCTCATAAATAATTGGTCCACGGGGAGGGGTGAGTGTTAAGGGCTCCTCCATTGGGCAGAAAAACTTTCGGAGCGCCTGTCACTTCTAATTGGCACCGACTATTGGTGGCACCGCAGCTGACGAACTTCACCAAAAACGTCGATAACAGAGGAACACACAAAAGCCACGGCTGCCCCCTCGGCTCTTAAACGCATCCTGTGGCACCCAACAGGTTCGAAAACCTTTTGCAGCGTGAATGGGAGACCGGGAAGGGACAACATAAGAGAGAGGGGAGCGATGTTGTTCTTTTGACAACCTGTTCAGTGTGGAGCTGTGAGGCTTTATCGCATCTATGTGGAAGCCTCTGTCCTCCCTCCCCTCTCTCCACCCCTCTCTCTCCCTTCTCAGACAAGGGGCGGTCGTTCTCAGTCTGCGCACATATTCCACTTGGCCAGCATCACTTGGACTCCACAGACACAGCGCTGATTGAAAGAGCGGAGGGGAGCTCCTTTTCAGAGCGCACGACTGTGTTAGAAGGGCTTCACTAGACTGTCACCGGTCAGAGGCAGAGAGCGGGAGAGACAGACAGAAAGAAAAGCCATTTCAACCACGCCTTTAAAAGTAAATAACCCTCAGAAAAAGGAGACAGGGTTATAGGATTTTTGCCAAACTAGCCTTGCTTGAGTTTTTAAAAGGGAAAGTGTTTTTTTGGGAAGAGGGACTCTCTTGGGGAAACCGATCAGCGGTAAGATTCCTCTGCCCGCTTCTCTCCGTGCGTAAAATAAAAGTTTAGCACATCAAGGAGATAATTTAAGAGGTCTGGGAGCTCAGAAAACTCTCCATTACACTTCCCGGGAATTGTAAAGCTCCCACCGGACGCCCGCTGGAGGAGGATTTAAATAACTTTTGGTGGAAAGATACGAAGGCGGGTCGGTCTAACGGAGAGCCGAGGAATCCTCTTCGCTTAGACGGGAGGAGTGCGCGCGGCGCGGGTAGCAGATTGACCCAAAGGACGGCACCTCTGAGACAAGGTAGAGACGCGGCAGGGATTACAAGCCTGCGCGGAGACTACATGATTTATTTTTGTCAGGCTTACATGTTTTATTTATTGACTTTGCATCATGTCTGTGTGCATTTTTAAGAATACAATGTGCACATATTTGTGAACATCTTAAATTAGGCAGTTGGCTATTTGATTTAACTCTGTTCTACATCAGTATCAAAGCTTTGCTCTGACAACACTTTGTATGCCTCACCGGTGATATTCAAATTCTTGGTCTTCATACTCGCCTTTCTAAAATTTGCATAATTTATTTTTACGCAGGCAGTATAGCGATCTACTCGACTACATGTCAGTGTACGCAAGTCTCATTCAGCGCATCCTGACATTAAAGCGGGGTATTAACTCACATGCATCTTATAATAAAACTTTCCGTCACTGCGCGCGGTAATGCAACCTGTCAATGCAGCGGCTCAGTCATTAGACAGTTGTGAGGGACAGCCGTCGGAGGGAATCCTCGTGTTCGGCCAGAGTCTCACAAGGGGGTCCGCTAGCCCCCGACTCCACCTGCGGTTCATCCTTGTTTTCTTAAGGTTTTCTAACAGGTTCTATATTGTTCTGAGAAACACTATTTGTTTAAAGACGGAGCTACAAATACGAGGATAAACAAAAAAAAAAGTGTTGTTTTTTTGCTATAGAAGTGGACCCATCACCCTCTTCCTGCTGCAGACACCTTGTTGGAATTGTTCTAGCCTATTGATCTGAAGCAAAGACGGTGTGTATGTGTGGGTGTTGGGGGGGTCTAACGTTCATGACCTCACTTGTTGTAGCTAATCCTCCATGAATAGACCGATCCCTATAGTCTCCTGTCATGACAACACCTACCACCCCACCCAGGCTTCAGTGAGGAGGATGTTTAGTTACGCCTAACAATCCTGTCAATCTCCAGTTCTCTCACACACTCAGCCCTGCTTGTAAATGTTGTATAATCCATGATTTGTGATTGTATTACCCGTCCTTTAAGTCGAACAAAACGATGTAGGCTGTGCTGCCGGGAGCCAAATTGCTCTGTGATATTATTTTCACGGCTTAAGGGGTTGAAGGAGACGTAGTTGAACATGAAAAAGCAATTTAAAGTACCTGTTCTTCCTTTTTGATAACAATCACTCAGCTGTCGCCTCTTGTTTGTCACAGCTGCATCTGCAGGCTGTTCCCCTTCAGCCTCTGTTTTCACCTCTTAATTCACTATGCTTTATTGGCATGAGTGTAACAAAGACATGTAGGCCTATTGCCAAAGCGTCAAGTCTCTCTCTCTCTGTGTCCCCCTCTTTCTTAGGTTATGACGGAACTGAGCTGAACATGGAGCTTTTCTGGATTTTGTTATTTTCTAGTGTCTATCCTCTTGCCTGGGGCCAAGGAGTTTACGGTAAGAACTTGATATTTACAAATGTATTCCTATTACTCCATCAATGCATACGTTATTAGTGCAGGCTGACTGAGCTCCATTGCAGCAGCGATGCTAATTTGTCCAATTATTAGCCCATAACCTTAAATAAGGGCCGCTCCGTGCCCCATATTGTCCGCGCTTCAGTACAATGCGCTAATAGGAGGCAGTGTAATAACTGGCGTTTAAAGTACTGCGAGAATGGCTTCAGGGAGATCGACAGCAAATTAATTTGAAAGGGAGACATTGCTTCTTAGAAGTCGCAGGACAGGAGGCGGCTGGGAAAACATCCAGCAATGTAGTGGTGGGGAAACCCACCTACTGTAAATCCAATCTAATTCCATCTTTAGGCTAATATTAATTTTTATGGCAAAAATCCACATTAGCCTCACAGATTTGTGCTTTATCACACAAAGTACCATCAAACTTTAAATTATCAAGGTTTATGGTTATTACTGAATAGTTATAATTGGCTATTATTTAACTTCCCACCATATTTTCCCATTTGTACTGCACCCACAGACATACAGACAACAGGAGGATGAAACGTGGCTCACTTTGTCAGGTTAAACAGGACAGTCACGCTGTGCTTTTGAGGACAAAGCGGAGATTTGTTCCCTCTTAAGACTCCCCCCCTCTCGCTGTACTACAGAGGCTCAGTTTCTTCAGCTACAGGCCAGATATGCATCCTCCTGTCCCTTCGGGCAAGGCAAACACAAACTGATCTGTCAGCTTTAATACTGATTTTGATGTTTGAAGGCATGTGGCAGCCATTGAAAGCAAGGTCTGTTTAGTAGCATGGAGTGCTGTTGTCATAAGCAGTCCCGCAGCCTGCTGTCACACTGAGAAATGCTGACACACTGTCATTTGCTGTAGCATGTAGACCCATATTATTTTTTTTTACCACCAGTTGGAGCATTATGCCAATGCCTTAATACACAATACTGAAGATATTTTCAAAATAGGTATTTTTTTCTATTTGTCAAATAATAAAACATGGCTTTACAATGACAGAGAATGTAACTGAGTTTTAGTGGCATCACATATACTTCATATCACTTCTTTTACCTGCTCCTGTACCCGCTTTGATAAAGCCAGCTTTACCATAAATATTTTTTGCTGCTTTCAAAAATATTTCCAGCATACATATATTAGTAAAAGTAAAAAATAAATAAATATGGTTTCCATAGTTATTTTCAGTGCTAGCAATCATTTTGTAGGAGTATGTCTTCATTTTTTCAATCAGTTGTCTCCTCGTGGGGTGACTTTTGTGATCTAGTTACGCCGCCCTACAGAAGGCTCACATCTCCAGTTTGCCCTGGTGCATTCTTGTCCTCATTTATTTTTGTTCACAATAACTGTATGAAACAGTTTGGGCTTCTCCACAGGGTAAACTGATTGTCATGAAGAATTTGTGCATCCGTGCCTCATGGGCTCTGTCACAAATAAGCAGTGGGTCGAAGCAGAAAGGTATGCAGTCAGTGCCAATGGTAGCGGCTGCAATGATATTTTGTTTTTCCCAGTGTAGAGGGTTATCCGTCTTATGTACAACAGCAACCTTTCAGTCTCTGCTGAGGGACATAAAAAAAGTCCCAAAGCTTTGTGGGAATTGCGCTGGCCAGCATTATGCGGGCCCAGATTCCCAGGTGGCTTGTGCGGTGGCGTTGCTCAGCTGCACGCACCTGCGCAACAACTGTTTCACGTATAGGTAAAACATCATCATTAAAAAGAGTCATTCAGAAAGAACAAATATCTTCACAATTTGCACAGTTGCAGCGAAGGACACGAGTAGGGATGCTCGGGAAGAGAGCCAACAAGTTTGGCTCGCTGTGTATATGCAGATATGCATAAAATGGTTTCCCTCGCTCTGGAATTGTTTAGCACTTGCTCCAGCAGACAGATGCGACTCGTTGTCCGTCGGGAGCCGAACGGTGTAAGCGTGCCTGATTGATGTCAGCGCTTTGGAAGGCTGTGAGCTTCATTTACTGTAGCCTTCTCTGGGGTGTGTTTGGATGTGTGCGTTTCTGTCAGCTCACGCCTGAGAGTCTGTTGCGTGCAGGTGTCCGTGCTCGTGAGTGCGAATGTGAGTTTGCGTGCCAAATGAAAGTGTGTGAGCCCACAAACCTGTCTGTGTGTGTGTGTGTGTGTGTGTGTGTGTGTGTGTGTGTGTGTGTGTGCGCGCGAGTGGGACGTGTTTGTGCAGCAGACACACTTTTCTTCCCACTGCAACAGTTTGCTGGCTCAGCAGGGACTTGTGGATCAGTCACCGTTTCTCTTGCAGCAGTGTAGTATTGATTGTACTTCTGTGGATTTTGATAGGCTGTCAGAAAGCCTGTAACACCTGTCCCTCAAATAGGAATTGGACAGACAAGTGCACCAAGGAAACACGATGCTTTATTACAGGAAAAGCTGCAGAGCATAGGTTTCTTTCACATTAAGCACATTTATTAAGATCATTTTATAGTATGCACTTTTTACTGGTGTCCTCTCCTCTCTCCTACAGTTTTTATTCGGGATAAGCTTTTTACATGCATCTCCGCACTCCGATGACAAACATCCCTGCATACATATACATCAGGTTTAATTTAATCTGCATATACTGTAATGCCGGGCATTACAAGCATGATGTGGCATCCGCATGCGGCGACTCTCAATACTCAAGGATTAGGGGAGGTTCAGAAAATGTCAAGACCGTCTCGCAGGATGTGTCTCATCATCTAAAGGACTCAACAGTTACGCCATCAATTCAGACAAAGTGTACCAGAAAAGTGTTTCTCCATCTTTGTGGCGCTACATCACACTCAGCGAGGCAACAGAGTTCACAGGGACACCAAATTATTGATTGCTCGACAAAGTCACACGGAACCATTAGCTTGTGCTGTAGATGGAATCCAAGCTGCATTAGCCTGCAATATGATGCTTCATTATGTGCTTGTTAACAGGACATTTAATGAACTTAAATCATTGATTATGCTTACCAATTTTTTTGATTTGAGCAAGACCCTTGCAGCAAGCAGGAGAGTTGAGGCCTTGCCACTAGCCATAGAACAAAGCACTACAAGAGAAGCAGAAAGTGAAAAAGTTGAATATGCCGACATTGCGCACAAATTTAACATCACTTTGAAGATGTTGCCCAAGGAAGAATGAAGGGCTTGGAACATATTGCTAGTTATTTTATTTGCTGTCTCTATGTGTGTGTGTGTGTGTGTGTGTGTGTGTGTGTGTGTGTGTG